CATATTCTGTGTATAGAACGCATTAAAATACATTAAATATTCAACATAACTACACTGCAGTTGTAACAAAGTATCTGCAACATTTTACGACAAAGGTGTCGAGTGCCAAAATGATTGTATATTTTTGCAGCCCACACTATCTTCTGTTGCTTGCTTGGCTGGCAATATTACTTGTCTATAAGGGTGGCTGCAAGAAAATGTTCTTTACATAAAAGATAATTGTGTAAATACAGAAACTCAGTTCTAAACCAAAAACTCTGTTTTTACACAAAACTTTGTTTTTACACGAAAACTCTGTTTTTACACCAAAACTCTGTGTTTACACAAAAACTCTGTTTTACACAAAACTCTGTGCGTATACAAAAACTCTGTTTTTACACCTAAAATTTGTTTTTACACAAGAACTCAGGTTTTACACAAAATTTCAGTTTTACTCCAAAACTCTGTATTTACACAAAAACTCTATGTTTACACAAAAACTGGTGTTTTACACAAAAACTCTGTTTTTACTCCAAAACTCTGTTTTTACTCCAAAACTCTGTTTTTACACCAAAACTCTGTTTTTACACAAAATCTTAGCTTTACACAAAAACTCTGTTTTTACACAACAACTCTGTTTTTACATAAAAACTCTGTTTTTACACAAAAACTCGGATTTTATACAGAAACTCTGTGTTTACACAAAAACTCTGTTTTTACACAAAACTCTGTGCTTATACAAAAACTCTGGTTTTACTCCAAAACTCTGCTTTTACACAAAATCTCAGCTTTACACAAAAACTCTGTGTTTACACATAAACTTTGTTTTTACACAAAAACTCTATTTTTACACAAAAACTCTGTTTTTACACAAAAACTCGGATTTTATACAAAAACTCTGTTTTACACAAAAACTCTGTTTTTACACACAAAACTCTGTTTTTACACAAAAACTCTGTTTTTACACAAAAACCCTGTTTTTACACAAAAACTCTGTGTTTACACAAAAACTCTGTGTTTACACAAAAACTCTGTGTTTACACAAAAACTCTGTGTTTACACAAAAACTTTGCTCTTACACATAAACTTTGTTTTTACACAAAAACTCTGTTTTTACACAAAAACTCTATTTTATACAAAAACTCTGTTTTTACACAGAAACTCTGTTTTTACACAAAAACTCTGTTTTTACACAACAACTCAGATTTAACACAAAACTCTGCTCTTACACATAAACATTGTTTTTACACAAAAACGCTGTTTTTACACAAAAACTCTGTTTTTACACAAAAACTCTATTTTACCCAAAAACTCTGTTTTTACACAAAAACTCTGTTTTTACACAAAAACTCTGTTCTTACACAAAAACTCTGTTTTTATACAAAAACTCTGTTTTTACACAAAAGCTCTGTTTTTACACAAAAACTCTGTTTTTACACAAAAACTCTGTTATTACACGACAACTTTGTGAAAAGAAGACAACATCTTTTACCAAAAGCCTCTCTTCTCCCTAATGTTTCTGGTTATGAGTTTACTTACACTGATGAACTACATACACATACAATCAACAACATGTATCTATCCACACTATACAACAAATGTCATAAAATTTAATAATGCAAATGTAATTAAGTTAAAATGACCAGGACATTTCAACAAAAATATAATACTGGCTCAAATTAATCTACGGAAATAGTAACAAAAGTTACAATTAACAATTGTTATAAAGAAATTGATAAATTTTTAAAAAGACTATAGCAAAATGATAACATCAACTAAGAAACCATTGTAAACTTTATATAATAAAATCAATATATTATGCTTATTTTAAACAATTTCTAGAACTGACCTTTTATGCTTCGAAAATAATGTAATCCACAAAATTTTTTGTTTATATGTTCATTTAAGTTTTTCTTATTGTAGTAATTTTGCTGTAGTTTTTTCATTTACACATACATTTTATTTTCTGCAGTGAGGTAGGTGTTGTTGTCAATATGTAATTCCTGTGTGTCATACCCGCAATTGACTCATTGCGAATGACAAGCAACAGCAGCAACCGAAAATAAAACAAATCTAGCCTCTCTTACTCCTTCACTCAAAACTAATTTAGTTTTGTCCATAACATGTATTGTAGTTGAATGAATGTGTCATGTTTAAATAAATAATTTATATGGACGACTTTAATTATACATACTGCATACACACATACATACATAGAGGGTCCTTGTGAATTTAAATGTGAACACAACTGCAATAACAAATGCCATGTTATAAACTATAGACACAGTTTTGAATTCATTACAGATTTCGGAAAATTTAGTTGAATAACATAGTTTTTATTTTTGTTAATTGAAAGAGATATTAAATATGTTTTAAATTTAAGATGGATTTTAGAAAGAAGTCAATTATGAAAAAATCGTGTATTCAATATAAGGTTAGGTTGATGGGAGAATGATACAAGATGACTAAGTGCTTTACGTGAACGCCTGCCTTGACGACTCACCATCACCCCTTTATGTTTCTTACACGCTGGTGACAATTATTGTTAATGATTCTGCTGATCCATGTATAAGCATTTTGCTCAAGTCTCGAGCTACATATATAATCTCTTGCCATAGTAGCCCCGTTGAAGAATGACAGGTATCTTGACACCATACATACATACCCCGACAAGAAAAAGGTAATCACTAGTTTGGAGTTAATAGAATGGACTTACCCAACATCCAACCCTATTAATGTTATGAGGAAGTGCATTCCTTAATCTCTTAAACGCGCACAACCACACCACAGAGATTCCAAGAAAAGACCGAGAATACATTTGATCATCATCAGTTTATAGTCCTGGTAGACTAGAAGTATTAGTAGCACCTCTTTTCCCCTGGGATTGCAATACAACAAAATGGGATCTATCATCAAGGAAACATGTCCCGGGGGGATACAGAAATAATTTTCAAAAAAGGCAATATTATGTTCGGAATATTATCACTCCCAAGTTAAATGGATCTTAAATTGTTGAAAGCCTGACAATGGCAAAGAATGTGCTGCAGAGTTTCACCGTACTCTCTGCATGCAAGTTTCAAAACTATGTTTTTATATATAGACTCAATTGTTACGCTTAATTTCCACTCTTAACTTAAAACATTGTTCTTAGAGAAAAAATTTTCTTTTATTCAAACACTTAGTTTTACGTTAAAATCAGTTTTTATACAAAAACCTTTTTTATATAAAAACACTGTTTATACATAAAAACTCTTTTTCTATACAAAGCTCTATTATTTTGGATTCTTATAGATAGTGGAGTCGATTAAGCTATGTCTGTCTGTCTGTCTGTCTGTCTGTCTCTGTCTGTCCGTCTGTGTGTCTGTTGAAATCAATTTTCTGAAGACCCCAGATATCTTCGGTATCCGAATCTTCAATAATTCTGTTAGACATGCTTTCGTGAAGTTTCCTACTTAAAATCAGCAAAATCCGTCCATAAATAACGATGATATAAGCAAAACTCCGAGACAACCTCTGAAAATTTATCTGCTAAAAAGTCTTTGTTTTTATTATTACACAAAAACAATGTTTTTACACAAAAACTCTGTTTTATAAAACAACAATTCTGTTTCTATTTTACATAAAAATTCTAGTTTTACACCACTCTGCATTTACATTCTGCCTTTAAACAAAAACTTTGGTTTTACTCTAATAATCTGTGTTTATAAAATTACTTTGATTTTATACAAAAGCACCTTTTAACATAAAAGCCTTGTTTTTCCAAAAAAAAATCTATTTTTTAAATAAAAACTATTCTTTTTTAAACAATAAAATGTTTTCATCCAGATTTTTTTATCTCCTTTTATTTTCAGGTGGTTTAAACTTCAACAAACATTTAAATTTGAAAGAACATATTCGTAACGGTTTTATTTGGGTCATTAGAGAGATTTAAAGAGAATCATCCAAAACTTATTGTATATCCAGCCACTACAATGGACTACTAGGTGTCCATTACTAATATAGAATCGAATTAAAATTTGGAAAATATACTACTAAATACTGATCCCCTTGGTCCTAATTAGGGCAGCTTTCCTACAACTATAAAAAATCCTCCCTTCTCTTGACAGCCTTGTGTAGGCTAATGGAATATGTAATAAGAATAATAAACAGAATTAAATAAAACTTAATTTATTGATTAACACTTACAATTAATTGTGTTTTAGTTGCTAAACAAATTCTTTAAAAATATATAGATAAAGTCTAAATAGATAAAGATAAAGTCTAAATAGGTAGTTAACTAACAATTTAAATAAATACATTGCTATTAAAAGCGTTACATTTCGTTTAAATAACGCTTTAGTAAAATTTATTTTGAAGTACAACTTAAATCCACACATATAACAATTTTATATAACTAATATATATAATTAAATAGAAACAATCTCATACATTTAAACAAACTAAATAAAGTTTGTTTTTTATGTTAAAATACCTAAAAGAATCAAACAACACTTAAAAAAAGCATCATTACTTCAACTTCACACTCCCTGTATATTCATTACGCATCCACTCAACGTGTGACGTCATCCAAAAATATTTGTACGAAGTAGACAAATTTCTAAAATTTCAGCTTAATACCAGGCGCCGAGAAATATTAGCAAAGAGTAAATTTATAAATAAACATTTTATCTCGCCAATAAGTGTCACATACTTTAAGGTGTTACATTAAAAAACACTGAACAAGTAAATAACGTGTCATCACTACGTATAATTAATTTAAGCCCTAAAGTATGTAATGCATTTTGCTGGAATAAAATAATTGTTGTTTAATGTATTTTCAATAATCGTGCTACTGTTTTTTATTTGCGCCTGGTGTTAAGCAGAGATTTTAAGAAATTGAACAATTTTGCAAATCAATTTGTGTGTGACGTCACGTTTGTTTATAAATGTGCCTGCAGTCAAAGGGCATTGTTGTTATAAATAAAATTCGGTTTAATAAGAAACTTTTTATACTTTTATTGCATCTTTATGTAAATAATGAATGTTATTAATTAAATATTTATTAAAGAATTCATATTATTTTTATTATAAACAATAAAGGGTGAGAAATTGTAAAAATATTACTTAATTATGCAGAATTTGGGTTTTCTTTGGAGAATTATAGTTGGTATGTACTTCCTAACTAATTAGTTGGTGACTCATATAGAATTCCAGTGAAGGGTTCCATTATTTATGATAGAGCGGGCCTCTTATGCTTTACTTATGCAGCGTGTACCATTTTCTGTAATGAAATAAAAAGAACATTTTTATAGTAAATACATAAGTTAGGATATACATACATATGTATATATTTTGGACACTATAGAGAGGAACTAAATTATTATAATCATAAATATAATTAAATAACTTTTGACAAAGTACATATTAAACATATTAAATATAATTAAATAACTTTTGACAAAGTACATATTAAACATCTCATAATTTTCTGAAATTTTCTTTACATTTAGTCTATTGTAGATAATTTGCTAGCCAAGGCAAGAACAGAACTAAAACTGAACCAGAACTGAAGAGAATTTATCTAAAATTGAAGTGGAATTGTTTCAGATCTCGAACTGAATAAAAGACTAAAATTTTTTGTTTATTTGCATCCTTATTTCATTTATTTCATATTGTTCTTAATATCTTAAGCATCTATTTGTATTGGCTTTATACGAAGTTAAAAAAACCTGATGGTGATCCCATCATGATGATAGATGCTGCCTCACCATCATCAGCCACAACGATAAGTAATCCAGGCTTTAAAGAAGAAAGAATTAAATTTTCTTAAAAAGAAAATAAACTGGTAGACGCAATGGTTCGAAGAGTCTGGCCTCTATGAGCACCATGGTACCTAGTATTTCCAATGGATCCACTGAAGAATCAGTTACACGTTCACCTTGTTTAAAAAAACCTTGACCAAAACCACATAGATAGATAGATAGATAGATAGATAGTGATAGATAGATAGATGATAGATAGATAGATAGATAGATAGATAGATAGATAGATAGATAGATAGATAGATAGTAGATAGATAGATAGATCGATAGATAGATAGATAGATAGATAGATAGATAGATCGTTCGTAGTCGTTAGTTAGTTCGTTCTTCGTTTCGTTCGTTCGTTCGTTCGTTTCGTTGTTCGTTTCGTTAGTTTTAGTTCGTTAGTTCGTTAGTTAGTTAGTTCGTTCGTTCGTTCGTTTCGTTCGTTCGTTCGTTCGTTCGTTCGTTCGTTCGTTAGTTCGTTAGTTCGTTCGTTCGTTCGTTCGTTGTTTTTTCGTTCGTTCGTTCGTTCGTTTCGTTAGTTCGTTCGTTCGTTCGTTCGTTCGTTCGTTCGTTCGTTCGTTCGTTCGTTCGTTCGTTCGTTCGTTCGTTCGTTCGTTTCGTTCGTTCGTTCGTTCGTTCGTTCGTTCGTTCGTTCGTTTCGTTCGTTCGTTCGTTCGTTCGTTCGTTCGTTCGTTCGTTCGTTTCGTTCGTTCGTTCGTTCGTTCGTTCGTTCGTTCGTTCGTTCGTTCGTTCGTTCGTTCGTTCGTTCGTTCGTTCGTTCGTTCGTTCGTTCTTTCGTTCGTTCGTTCTGTCGTTCGTTCGTTCGTTCGTTCGTTCGTTCGTTCGTTTCGTTCGTTCGTTTCGTTCGTTCGGTTCGTTCGTTCGTTCGTTCGTTCGTTCGTTCGTTCGTTCGTTATTCGTTCGTTCGTTCGTTCGTTCGTTCGTTCGTTCGTTCGTTCGTTCGTTCGTTCGTTCGTTCGTTTCGTTCGTTCGTTCGTTCGTTCGTTCGTTCGTTCGTTCGTTCGTTTCGTTGTTCGTTCGTTCGTTCGTTCGTTCGTTCGTTCGTTCGTTCGTTCGTTCGTTCTTCGTTCGTTCGTTCGTTCGTTCGTTCGTTCGTTCGTTCGTTCGTTCGTTCGTTCGTTCGTTCGTTCGTTCGTTCGTTCGTTCGTTCGTTCGTTCGTTCGTTCGTTCGTTCGTTCGTTCGTTCTTCGTTCGTTCGTTCGTTCGTTCGTTCGTTCGTTCTTCGTTCGTTCGTTTCGTTCGTTCGTTCGTTCGTTCGTTCGTTCGTTCGTTCGTTCGTTCGTTCGTTCGTCGTTCGTTCGTTTTTTCGTTCGTTCGTTCGTTTCGTTCGTTCGTTCGTTCGTTTCGTTCGTTCGTTCGTTCGTTCGTTCGTTCGTTTCGTTCGTTCGTTCGTCGTTCGTTCGTTCGTCGTTCTTCGTTCGTTCGTTCGTTCGTTCTTCGTTCGTTCGTTCGTTCGTTCGTTTTTTTTTTTTTTTTTTTTTTTGTTTTCGTTCGTTCGTTCGTTCGTTCGTTCGTTCGTTCGTCGTTTCGTTCGTTCGTTTCGTCGTTCGTTCGTTCGTTCGTTCGTTCGTCGTTCGTTCGTTCGTTCGTTCGTTCGTTCGTTCGTTCGTTCGTTCGTTCTTCGTTCGTTCGTTCGTTTCAGTTCTTCGTTCGTTCGTTCGTTCGTTTCGTTCGTTCGTTCGTTCGTTCGTTCGTTAGTTCGTTCGTTCGTTCGTTCGTTCGTTCGTTCGTTCGTTCGTTAGTTCGTTCGTTCGTCGTTCGTTCGTTTCGTTCGTTCGTTCGTTTCGTTCGTTCGTTCGTTCGTTCGTTCGTTCGTTCGTTCGTTGTTCGTTCGTTCGTTCGTTCGTTCGTTCGTTCGTTCGTTCGTTTCGTTCGTTCGTTCGTTCGTTCGTTCGTTCGTTCGTTCGTTCGTTCGTTCGTTCGTTCGTTCGTTCGTTCGTTCGTTCGTTCGTTCGTTCGTTCGTTCGTTCGTTAGTTCGTTCGTTCGTTCGTTCGTTCGTTCGTTCGTTCGTTCGTTCGTTCGTTCGTTCGTTCGTTCGTTCGTTCGTTCTTCGTTCGTTCGTTCGTTCGTTCGTTCGTTCGTTCGTTCGTTCGTCGTTCGTTCGTTCGTTCGTTCGTTCGTTCGTTCGTTCGTTCGTTCGTTCTTCGTTCGTTCGTTCGTTCGTTCGTTCGTTCGTTCGTCGTTCGTTCGTTCGTTCGTTCGTTTCGTTCGTTCGTTCGTTCGTTCGTTCGTTCGTTCGTTCGTTCGTTCGTTCGTTCGTTCGTTCGTTTTCGTTCGTTAGTTTTACGTTCGTTAGTTCGTTAGTTTAGTTCGCCTGCTCTCTTCCGCTCGCTGGTCCGTTCCTGGTTTCCCCTCCTTCTCCTCCCTCGAAGTGACCCATTATCTTTTCCAAAATAAAATTTTAAATTTAGTTTAAAATTTCGTGACTAAACTAAACAAAGATGGTGCTTAACTTAAAGAGTTTCCTCTAATGTAAAACATTTCAACATTCAACTAAGTTATTGCACCTTAAATTTTCTCTTTCAACAATGGACGAAAGAACATTCAATTAACATCATGTGGTCGATCCTTCTGCATAGAGCGACAAAAATAATTAGAAATTAATTTACTTCGCATGTATGCATGTATATATTCCAGGAAACCAAGTAATAATACCACGATTGAGTTTTATCACAAAACCAGCAGACAACGCCAACATGACTCAATACGATACGAAGCGATATTTTTGATGTAACTGAAAACTTACCCAAAATCCCCCACACAAACACAAATACAAAACGAAGGATATTGGATTTACACGTATCAAATGTTATTGCATTACAAATGTTTATTAGTTTATAATGGATACATTTAGTAGTTATTCAAAAATGTAATATAGCACAAACACACACACACACATACACTCACAACGTAAACACACACAAATTGGTTACAACGACATCAATGGAAGCGGAAACAGCTAATGGTCGAAAAAGGAAACCGTACACAAAAAAAATAAATATACAGTTACAGCACTAGAAATAAAATCATATTTCCTAGCTACATACATATTACCGACAACTATGAAAATTTTAAAGTAGAATTAAACAAATGTACAGTTGTATGTATGGTCTGAAATAACTAGTCTAGTAAAAGCCAATCATGCATCAGCTGAATGTTGCTATGGTTGGTTGACTATTTGGTCTATTACATTGCCATTCCTGGCCCCTGGAAATGCAACATTAGAGAATATTTTTGCAAAAAAAGAAAGAACGATGATATAAAGGTACAGGAAAAAAAGATAAATAGCAACGTTGAAATAACAGAGTCAATGCAGAAAGAAGAGAAGGGAAAAACACATTACAAGAGCGGCGGGAAAAATATGTATATGACTTGCAAGCATTTGCTGTAGCCTGATATCAATTTTAGCTGTATCAAACTACCATTACGAAAACGTTTATCAAATGTCTGGATGGAATGTGTCACACGGTAATAGTGACAGCTACAAAAAAACAGCGACTGTAACTATAGCAATAATAACAAATACATATGATTCCCTTAAGGTTCACCTGGTTAAATGTTGTTTGAATTGCATGTCATGTCTAAAGGTCTTCAAATAATACCTAGGATGAGAACGTTGATAGGTGGGTAGCGCAGATGATGGCTATGGGGTACAATGACTATTTTATAATGACGACAATGATGACTGTATGTATATACATATGTAGTTGGGTTTTTGTTTTGTGTCCATACACATACACATACCCTATACAAAAATTAATAGCAATAGTTTAGGACTTTTTCCTACAATCAGTTAAATCTGGTGATTTAAAGACGTTTATTTTACCTGCTGTAATGATTGATTTAGTGATATTCCTCTGTTGATTTTTGTAAATACAAAAGGGTTTTTATTGTTAAAAATAACTAATAAGATGACCCCGAAATTCACATAGTGACGGGGCAAGGTCTGTACTATATGTATATGTGATGTTCTGACTAGATTTCAGCAGTAAGTATATCTTAGCATTTTAACTCCTTACATTGTAATGAATCTAACTGCACTTGTCTATTTTGTAAACAGTAGTTAAGACTTTGATTAACAATATCTAATAACTCCACTACATGATAAAAGAAAAAAAAGAAACACTCGTGTCTTCCAATTTTGGTCAAAGTTATGCACTTTTTATGGTCCCAAAGATTTCAAGCCGCGGTGTAATTTTTGTAAAAGAAAGTTTATATCTTAAAAACCGTTCGGAATTTTGATTTATTCTCTCACCCAAAGTTGTTCCTCTAGTCACAAAGAACAAAAACTTTGAACATATAAAATCAAAAAAAATTCATCTTAATTTTTTAATTTCAGGTGGAATGTTTGTTTTACAATGTGAAATTGCACTGTTTTTATTAACGACACCCGTACGTATACGTGTTAATGATGATTGATATTACATATATTAAGTATACGCCTAACTTGGA